GGGGTGCTGAGCTCCCCCCGGCAGCAGGGCGGCGGCGGGGGCGGCGGCGGGCGGCCAGCAGGCGGCCGCGGGCATGGGCTTGGGCAAGGACATGGGCGCCCAGTACGCCGCTGCCAGCCCGGCCTGGGCGGCCGCGCAACAAAGGAGCCACCCGGCGATGAGCCCCGGCACCCCCGGCCCGACCATGGGCAGATCCCAGGTAACCCCCGCGCCGGCCGGGCCTGCTTCCGCCGCGGCGGCCTCGCCGCGCGCCGCGAGCCCTAGTTTCTTTCTTTCCGCGTACTTTTTCTGCGTCTTCTGCCGGGGGAGGCGGGGGCGAGGCGCCCAAAGCCATTTTAACTCGCGGCTGCCTCCCTCCGAGGCCGGGCGGCGCACAGGGTCGGACTGCGCGGCGCGGGGGCCGGGGCCTGGGGAGGGGGTCTCTCCGAGGCCCGGGACGCGCGCCGCGATTGCCGGTCGCCGGGCATCCGCCTCGCCACCCCGCCCCGGGCGCCGAGCCGCGCGTGCGGGAGTCGGGGCCCGCGCCGCGGGGAAGCCGCGTGGGCGCTGGGGACCGTTCGGGCAGCTCTTTCAACAAAATAGGCGCTCCCGGCCAGTAGGGTCTGGGGAGGAATATTGACTCCCTCGTCTCGGTTAGCGCCAACAATGAGCGAGAACTGGGAAAAGAATGAGGAACTTTGTCCTCCCTCCGGCCACACTGCGTTGCCTCTTAGCTCACAAGGTGAAGGCAGGAAAAATAGGTTAGCTTTGTGGCAGCCTGGTGTGTGTTTCGTAGTTGTGCTTAGCCATTCGGGGATATTCGATGCGGGCTTTGAGTTTGAGCGTTTAGTAGCAGCAGTAGTACCCACATTTACAACGATGTGGAGCTCAAAAAATCCAAAAATATATCGATCCATTCCTAAGAATAGCCGGGAAATCCATTATTTGGCTTGCAGGCTCCTTGAAAGGAGTCACCTTCAACAGATAGGCTGTGTTAAAGGAACACATTCCGGTTGAATTGAACTTATTTTGATCGTGGATTAGGCGTACATTTTATTCAGCGAACCCAGGGAAGTAGCAGACCAGTGCAGATTGATCTTTTTGGATCGGATTTATTTGGATTTTTAATTTCCTGTCACCCAAGTCTTGCAGCGTTGTTAGGAAGTGTCCTGCACTCTTGCTGTTTCTTGCTCGTAGGCTGAGCCTAAAGACTTGACTTGATCTCCTTTGCAAGGTTTGGAATTTGAATTGTGGAGGTAAACTGGCTGTAATAGTCTCCAGACAGCTGCCTCTGAGTTGACATCTAATCTGCCATCTGATTGGCTCCCCTCTCACCATTGGGCATTTAGCACTGCTGATGTAAATAGAAGTGCTGAGCAGTACAGTCACAAAAATTCTTGCCACAAATAATAACTGAGCTCTATTACAAGCAGATGTAAGGTTGAATATTATTTTAATCTTAAATTATTGTACATCATAGTTACTAATAAGAGGATTAAATACATAAAAACATTATGCTGGTGTCCAGGATTGGGCATTTACAAAATTCAGCTCTTTGACAGTCTCAGCATGGCCATTCACTTCAATTGTAGGGTGAGGATATGGCAATTGAAAAATAATTAAACCAAGAATTTTACTAATTTTTGGATTTGTAAAGCTTTTATAAAAGTACCCTTTATGGATTAAACCATGGAAAAAATTTAAATTATGTCATCACATGTGGTTTAATGTAAAATTAAAATTTATATCATTAAAAATGTCAAGATTCTGATATCCAACAATATCTTTTAGTAGTATTTAATTAGCTTTATAACAAGATTAAATCTATATTTCTAGTAAGTTGTGTTTTAACAGTTCTGATTGTTTTAAGCTGTTGGTGGATGAGGAGTTTTAGTTAGAATTGACATTATGTTTAAGAAAACATGAAATGCGGAAACTATAATAATTTTTGCAGACAACAGTTAGTTAAAAGGGAAGAAATGGATGTTCTTGCGAAATTTAAAAAATCATTTTACATTTGCTTCTGCTTTGGAGGCAAATGCCCCAGGAATCTTTTTTTTCCCCCCTTGATTATTTTGCTAGGTTAGGTAATGTGAACCTTATTTGAACTGCTCACACAATGTTTTAGGGAAACTATATTACATGCAAGTTGTGCTGGGTATGTTTCTTCCAAATAATTTTTCTTTCATAGACATTACAATTTTTTAAACTTTCAGAGCATTAAAATATGTTAGAAAGGAATAATGGCGGTTGTAATATATATTTTTACTCAGCTCATTTATTTTAGGAAGGTGTATTTTAATAATAACCATATCTTAGATGAGAGACCTGTCAGAGTGAATGCAGTACTGAATTTAACAGATAATCATGTGAATCCCAGGCTGAGGACATTGGTGTCCACTGCTTTCTAATCTTTAGTTAGTGGAATTTTACTTTTAATAATAATATGTTTTCCTATTCTTCATAGAAAACTTGGAATTTCAATTTTTATTTTTTGATTTGTACAGGTAAAAACATAGAAAAACCTTGTGTAAATAAACCCATGTAATTTTAAAAAGATTTGCTTTGTCAACTTCCTTTTAAAGGGACAGTTTAGAATTCACATCTCTGTAAACTAGAAACCAGGATGATAGAGGCAGATGTAGGTCGGTGTTGCTTTACGCTATTTTTTCGTAATGGAACCAATTATTTTAAGTATTTTGTTTTCTTGGAATGAGAGTGAATCCATTATGTCCCCAGTATGACCCTTGGGAATAGCTTTTTTATTTTTGAGGGGGAAGAAAAATGATGGGCATGTGACCTAGATTCACAGACTTCTTTTAGGTACCTTACCGTTTAACATGTGGAATGTGTCTTTTTTTAATATTTTTTCTTTTTGGAAGGCTGGTATTATTTAATATTTGTTGTGACAGTTATCCTAAGGAACAGTCGTTTGTCCAGAATATTAAATTACTGCATAACTATAGGTCCTGAAGTACTATTAAATTTTCTTGTGGCTTTTAACACATTTAGTTTCATTTTTGATTTTAGGAATGGTTTACATTGGGTGGCAAATGTTTTTGTAATTGAGAACAAAACATGTGCGTATATTGTAACAGGAGGGTCTTTTTAAAAAGTGAAATAAGGCATTTTACGATACAGTTTGTTAGTGGGTTTCTGTGAGATAAAGTATTCAGATAAAGCAATCTCAAAAGAAATACTGAGGTCTGCTAACGTAACTAAGATTTTATGATGTCCACATTTGTGCTGAATTTCATTAATGCTATTTTAACTTTAGTTTTATATAATATAATACAATGTAATTTAAAAAAAAGCTTTATCTACCATTAAAAGAAAAGTGATTAGCTGACTTACAAAGCAGGAAGTTACAGGCTGGTTCCTGATTACCTTAAAATTTGTATAAGGTACATTATAGCACTTCCCAGTTTCCCCGCTCAGTGCAGTGTTACCCTATGTGATAATGTTAAATCTTGTAAACAAATATTTGTGGCCTAAATTGATATATCTGCCAAGGTATGACTGGCCAGCTGCTCCATCGTCAGAAGAGGTGGAATTGACAACTGTGTTTCATAGAAAAGGTTTACCATTTAAAAAACAAAGAAAATATAACAAAAATGTCTATAGTTGTCTGATTTTCTGTATTATTTGGAATGAAATTATGCATAGCTTAAAATTGTTTTCACTGGTGATCTTGATTTCTGTGTACTTACTTTTGGCAATTTGTTGTTTTTTAATGGCAACTACTCTGTAAGACAGCTATCACTTAAATTTACGTTTACGTTAACACAAAATCGATAAGTATATTCCAGGGAGCAACATATTCTTACCTTGCATCTATGATGAGAAACCCTATTCCCTCGTTTTTCTTTGGTTTTGTTTTTTATCTATATTTAGGAATGAATTTTTGGTAAAGCTTTTTATACTTGTTCCATTTTTCCCATGCCATGTTGTATCAGAAGTATTAGAATTGTGTTGTGGATATGGAAATATTCCAAATCACACTTAGACACTTGTAGTAATGAACAAGCCTCTAAATATCGTTTTCTTTCATTAGAACTAAGAGAGTAACATCTTCACTCTGGTATACAAATAGTATTAATTCCGGCTTGAGAACCGATTTAAAAATGTAAGACAATGTAGAGGAAGTCTCTTAATATAAAACTCACTTGGTAGTTTTATTAGACACATTTTAAAGAAAACAGGTGTAACAGAATGTGGTTGAATTTTCAGTTCTATTTCTTATTAATGGACTTTACTACTTTATAATTTGGAGCAGGGTGTATCTAAAACAATGACTTCTGATGTAATAGGAACTTACTTATTTCCCTAGGATAAATACCAGTGTGACAGGCAAACCAAAAAGATGATCATTTCGTTTATTTAACCCTATCCTCTCCTAGGAAGAAAGTAGTTTCGTTTAAAGTTTTTTTGGGTTCTATGAAATTTTGCTACTTATGTTGAAAACTGACTTGGGAATGTAAATTTTGGATATATTGGCATAGGAAAATATATTAGCTTTTTGCCTAGTGTCCTCAATTGAGAGGTTTTTCTTCCTACTTTCCAGGAGACTGATACTGCTCAGTTAATGGATCTGTGTGCTTTGATCCGTATTTGAGGAAAAGGAACTAGAATTTCACTTGTGTCACTTTCATTTTGGGCTGTGTGTAGATGTATAAATTTGAGTCTTATATTTGTGTTTGAAAGAACTCTTGTGTGTTACTTAAAACAACAGATTTATGGAGGCTCAAAACGAGTATTAAAAAAACTCAAGTTCCATGAATATTTTTGCAATATTTAGATTTTCAAAATGGATATTACAAAAATTTATGACATTTTACAGTCTTCTTTATACTTAAGGACCACATCCACGTCCTAGGCCTTGTTGGAATTGGGTAGATTTTGATCATATGCCTTTTCAGAGGTGTCCTTTCTTTATCAGGATATCGGTGCAGATTCTCTGTGGCTATGTAAAGGAGAGTTGCACAGTTGTTGCACAGTTGCTGTGTACGCATGCTTGAGGCAGAGGAATCCCAGGTCCTAGTTCCCTGTAGTGTTGGGGGAAACTACCAGGCAAAACTGCTCATCCACCAAGGGTACATTTATGTAGATGTAGAACTATTACACAGTATTGCTTTTTCCAGTTTGGAGGCTGTTTATGTAAGACTTAAGTGGCCCTTTTTGGTTTAATTGAGTGGTTGAGTGAATTTTGATCTAAAATCT